ATAAGGTTCTATGCATCCCGTAGATCCAACGGGTTAGGTGTAATTGAGGAAAAAGGAAATTTTCGTAAATCGATAACCTTTGATAAAATTTCGAGAAAGTAAAAATTGTTTTTCTCGGAATTTCGGAAAATGCTTCAATAGTACATTGTGTACCTAGGGTGCAAAATAGGGCATTCTAGCACAGACAGAATGCCCTTTGCGCCCGTGGTGCACATACTATTTTTTGACACGCCGGGCGAGAAATTAATCGATAACAAAAGCTATCGAAGTTGTAATTATATCATGTTCCGTCTTTCCGCCCTAGGGCGGGAATGTGCTATTTTGCGCCCGCTAAACATGCACGAGAAACCGAATTTCGCGCCCGGAGGGTCAAAAAATGTTTTACACAAAAGTTGTAGTTCTAGTTGTCAGCTATAAATAAGGTTCTATGCAATTTTCCCGTAGATCCAACGATTTAGGTGTAATTGAGGAAAAAGAAAATTTTCGCAAAATCGGCAACCTTTGACAAAATTTCGAGAAAGTAAAAATTGTTTTTCTCGGAATTTCGGAAAATACTTCAAATAAAATTTGTGGGCAACCCTACAAATTTGTCAGTACTGCTGTTATCTATATTATCTTAAAAAAGGTCGTATACAATTTGTTTCTATCTTGAATACTTCAGGATTAATCGGTTAAGTAACTATTTCGTCCATCACCAAATGCTTCTTAACGAGTGGAGTTATAAGAAAATTGCATAGAACCTCTTTTGTTTCTGACAACTACAGCTATTTTTCTAGAAATACGTAAAACTCGCAGCATGAAAATAAAACAATAAAAGGGAAATGAAGATGTTTATATTCATGTCTGGTATATTGGTAAACAGATTCTAATCCATTGTCATACATCTCCTCGTTTATAGCATTTATCGAGATCGGGTCATCGCTTTACGGATCTTAATACTTTTCCATTGTTGGTTCCCTTTCGTCTTTACGACGTCCCAACGCCCGTTATCCCTATTGTCGGTTCGTGAAAGGAGATATGATTGCAAGAAGCAATGTACTATTTTTGTCAGTGGTACATTTCATTCGTTTGATAGAACGTAGCAAAAGTCGTCCCGTTCAGAATTGCGTCCTTGGAGATTTTCTAAGAAACCACAGCCTGGTTTCCCGCATCGGTGATCTTTACATAGTACCTTATCTTTCGATCCGTGCCGAGCCCCTTGTCTCTGAAGATTCTCCGATCGATAAACTCTTCCCTATTTCTCTTCGAATTATGTTCGATAAACTCTTTTCTGTTTCTCTTCCGTTTTCTTAAAATCGAAGGAAATTGAGCGGTGCAAGTAATTGATACCGATTGCGATTTATTTCTATCCGTTTTCTCTCGGATACAAAACGTTTGATATTCAGCGATTCGTCAGGAACGGGTCGCGTTCCGCGTAAAGTTCGCACCGACGGCCAAACAAATTATTACCTCGAGGGCGTGTCACGAACACCCTTTCCTCGTTCACGAGCTTTTGTCGAGTGGCTGTCGACCTGGCGTCTGATCGAAGTCCGATCGAAACCCACCCCTCCGCATAATCCGCGCCACGGGACAAAACCACTTTATAGCCTCTCTAGATTTAGCTGAAGGATTCTTCGCGCGGGATCGGCCACCGTTGCAGGTCATCGTTATCTACTTCCCACCTCGACGACGTTCGCGATATCTGACTACTCCGCGAGGTTCTCGCAAACAATTTTTGAGATCGAACAAACCGTTGACATCGTAGAATATTTCAGTTCAGAAACACGGAGAAGTATTGCGCGCGAAGGCGGAATGCCAGTTTATAATAATGAGATAAATTCTGCTTAAACGAATTCTCGGTGGGTCTGTAAAATTTGTATAAACAAAACGAAGGATTATAATTATTCTCAGTGACGTTCGTCCAGCGAAAATTGCTGCGATGGTTAAAATTGACGGTGAGTTTACACAGCGTTCCTCTTACTTGGAATTTCCATGTAATCAATTAATCTTATTTAAAGAGACGCTGGAAGACGTACTTCTTCTCCCTTGGACGTTTCAGACGGGAGACGATTTTATGGTCCGCGAATAGTCGAGTCAGTTTTTCGACAATTGTCTTCTCGTTTGAAAATTTGATAAAGCTTCGTCATCCCGTGAAACTCGTCTTGTCATCGTACGGACGGCGCGGAATTTCGGAATTAACAGCCAGCTTTATTACGGCTTCTCTAAAATATTTCGTTAAGCGGAGAGTAAAATTATCACGTCCGGTAAAAGTCGGGCGGGCTTTTTTTTTTCCCTCTCTCTTTCTCTACACGGGGAGAATTCGTCCCACTGCGCTATGTCACGATCGTATACACGGAGATCATTGTCAACCGGCTAGCTTTATTCCCCGCGTAAAAACAGAGAAATTGCGTTTTCATGTTAACGACTCGTTTTATCCGTTTCCACGCCAGGACAAAAATTTCTCGAATGCTTTATTGAATGACGACGATAAAGCCTCGATTTTACGTTGCCCGAATCGCGTGTCCACTTATTCGGTCGGCATTTAATGGGTGAATCCGATCGCCAATTAATTACTCTCGGGTTTAAACATTTTCTCGACTTTTGTCACCGTCACCACTTTTTGTAGACAATTTTATTTGAATTTGATCATTCATTATATTAATAAATTAAATATCTCTCGACTTTTATCATGAATTTCAATTATCATTCGTTGTCTTATTCGAAATAAAACAATTCGTAGACTTCTGATTAAAAATATAAAAAAACCCACCCCTCCGCATAATCCGCGCCACGGGACAAAACCACTTTATAGCCTCTCTAGATTTAGCTGAAGGATTCTTCGCGCGGGATCGGCCACCGTTGCAGGTCATCGTTATCTACTTCCCACCTCGACGACGTTCGCGATATCTGACTACTCCGCGAGGTTCTCGCAAACAATTTTTGAGATCGAACAAACCGTTGACATCGTAGAATATTTCAGTTCAGAAACACGGAGAAGTATTGCGCGCGAAGGCGGAATGCCAGTTTATAATAATGAGATAAATTCTGCTTAAACGAATTCTCGGTGGGTCTGTAAAATTTGTATAAACAAAACGAAGGATTATAATTATTCTCAGTGACGTTCGTCCAGCGAAAATTGCTGCGATGGTTAAAATTGACGGTGAGTTTACACAGCGTTCCTCTTACTTGGAATTTCCATGTAATCAATTAATCTTATTTAAAGAGACGCTGGAAGACGTACTTCTTCTCCCTTGGACGTTTCAGACGGGAGACGATTTTATGGTCCGCGAATAGTCGAGTCAGTTTTTCGACAATTGTCTTCTCGTTTGAAAATTTGATAAAGCTTCGTCATCCCGTGAAACTCGTCTTGTCATCGTACGGACGGCGCGGAATTTCGGAATTAACAGCCAGCTTTATTACGGCTTCTCTAAAATATTTCGTTAAGCGGAGAGTAAAATTATCACGTCCGGTAAAAGTCGGGCGGGCTTTTTTTTTTACCCTCTCTCTTTCTCTACACGGGGAGAATTCGTCCCACTGCGCTATGTCACGATCGTATACACGGAGATCATTGTCAACCGGCTAGCTTTATTCCCCGCGTAAAAACAGAGAAATTGCGTTTTCATGTTAACGACTCGTTTTATCCGTTTCCACGCCAGGACAAAAATTTCTCGAATGCTTTATTGAATGACGACGATAAAGCCTCGATTTTACGTTGCCCGAATCGCGTGTCCACTTATTCGGTCGGCATTTAATGGGTGAATCCGATCGCCAATTAATTACTCTCGGGTTTAAACATTTTCTCGACTTTTGTCACCGTCACCACTTTTTGTAGACAATTTTATTTGAATTTTATCACTCATTATATTAATAGATTAAATATTTCTTGACTCTTATCATGAATTTCAATTATCATTCGTTGTCTTATTCGAAATAAAACAATTCGTAGACTTCTGATTAAAAATATAAAAAATGTGAGCAGGCCTTGAATGCTAAAATAGAAATGCATTTCTTAAATCGATTGCCATAATCATTTTGTTTCTCACAAAAGTAATTTAAATAGTAAACAACGTTGAAAACGAGTACATAGACGTAATGCGAATTTAGAGGACAAAGGAAGGATGGCTCGATTTTCATTTCCTATGGGAGTTCCTCTCGGGATAAAATTCTTCGAGGCAGCAACGTTGAACGTTTCACGGTGCTTTACACATACTAGTAACTCGCTACTTGTCCGCAGTAAAACCCGGGGAGAGATCTTTTCGTGAGAGGAATGCGTTCCTCGGTATGAGGATTCCTCCACGAAGACAATGAAGAATCGCGAGTGCCTGTTCGCGAGTGGAACGTGTTCCACCGTCGCGTTAGTCATTTTTATAAAGCAATTTGACACAGTTAGAAATCGCTGTAATTTTACAATTACTCCGATGAATCACTCGTACGATTCCTTGATGGTTTCAAGACCGCTATCGCATAGATTCATGGCATTAGATTCGCGTAATTGCTGATCACAGATAGCGTGCAGTTGTGTCGGATGCAATTAGAATAATTTACAGTGGTTTCGAATAAATCAATGAAACACACAATGGTAAATGATATAATAAATTCTATTTCAAATGAAGTGTATGTGTAAGTACACGACTGGTGTTATATGTACTTCGATTTCTGATTTCTCGGTCTATCGAAAGTTAAGAAAAATTGAAAAACGTCAGGCGGAGAATAAGTGGAGCGCATCTCGTGGGTGTTGACAAACGTAAGTTACGCGTCACATGCAGCTGCCTCCAGATCCTCTCTACGTTTACCTTCGTGTTACGGTGAGCGAGTTTTTTAACGAAAAGTTTACTCATTTCGGTACGAGATTTTATACCGAGAACTGCGAGCCACCAACCAACAATATTTTCGTCATCACGAAACAACTTATTCCAGACCTGTATCACGATTTTCTATTTTCTCTACAATTACTGAATTATTTTCCGGCACGTGGAAATTTCGCTCGCTACATTGTTTTCATATTAATGTTGCGTACTTACTCGTTGGTGGAACGAATGCGAACAGCACTTTCCAAAATATCGTAACGCCGTGCATCAGATAGTCCATGGTGGACGGTGCTGCTGGTTCACCAGCACCCTCACCCTCGTCCTCGTCTCCGCCACTCACCGTCAATGCCTCCGTGAACTGTTCCTTCCACGAACTGGTGCCTAAAAGCGTATTAATGAAATATGATTAATCTTCGATCCACAATTCTGACAATAATACGAAGAACCTGAAACAGAATTATTTCGATGAGTGTGTCTGCAAAGTTGCATTACTCCTGATGTGTTCACTGAGTCGTAATGATAGAAGTCGAATCGAAAGTGATGAAACGATAAACGAAAGGCGTGTTTGGAACGAAACGTTGAACCGCGGCCAAAGGTGTTGGACAAAAACGGATATTCGGGGGGTTCGCTGGCTGGTTCGATAAACCGTGCTAATTTTTTGCAGTGTTGCATTTTCTTGCTGGTGTCGGTGATAAATCAGCGGGGTGGGTTGGATTTTCAGAGGTTCCGTGGGAGGGAACGGAAGGCGAGACCGGTGTTTCGAGCCCGGATTTCTTCCGTAAGATTCTTACCCGGTATAATTTACGCGTTGTCCCGCGTTTCCGTTTTCAAAGTAATTGGCGAGCTCTATATAATGTTCGTTGTGAGCGTCATAAATCAGTTCCGTCCGCGAGAGGTTCCCGTACGCAAGGACGCCCGATTCCAATCGATATTACCCGGCCGATAATTTCCACTTTGCACCCTCAAAGGCAACCGCGCGCCTTCGAATGCAATTTTTCTTGTTCAAGGTCGTTGCGAGGCTGATACATTGTAATCTGATTAATTATTCATGCCGGCATCTCCGGACGAGCATGAAATATCACGGCACAGCATCAATTATCGTCAGAATTATGCCGAGCCAAACACGGTGCAACTAAATATTTGAACCTAAGCGCAGTTTTTATCGCGGAACTTTTGCGCTCGATGCAATCGCATATTAAACGCTCAAAAGTGCGCTCGGTCATATTCCCAAAGCGTTTGCTGTCTCGGCTCGAGAACCAATTAAGTGAAACTTTAATAGTTTTACGAGTGTCCTCTGCCAGTCTCGTAATAAAAGTTTCATCGGTTTCGATTTTGCGACCTCGCGCAACGGTGACACGTTTTTCTCGTAACGGCAAGAACCTCGCGATACGTACGACGATAAAGAGAGCAAGAAAAACGGCGAGTTCGTGGAACGAATTAGACGGCGAGGAACGAGTTTCGAGGCAAGAAAATCGCCTGGCTTCGATACCAGGCCGGGTCTCGCAGGATCCTCGCGGATGTGGGTCAGCGTTTCTTTCGACACACGGCGGCAGCGACGATCTTGAAAAGATTTTAATGATTCGTTTCACGCGGTCACCGTTTCCCCATCGGATCAAAGGATTCTCTCGCTTGTTCGTCACCACGCGTCGTCCGGTTCGACTCTCCTCTGACACGATTTTAATGGCGTTAAAATTATATTTTTTAACATTTTTTCTGTCATTCAACGTCAAGATAGTGATTTGTTATTTAACACATTGCTGACCGGTCACGAGTTAACTCGTGATAAGCTTTTTTCCGCATCTTTATTGTTTTCACGGCGCACTGTTGGAAATCTTGTAGTGTAATTATTTGGTCTGCATACCTCAAGTTGTGTCTCGCTTATAAGACCGGCCAAGTTTCGTTCTTAGTTGTAAAAAAAATTTCAACGATGACCAAATTCTTCGAAAGGAAAACGGAGCGAAACCGAAATATTAGGAGTTGAATAATAAATAAAATTTATTAAAATTTATTTATATTGTTTTACTTCCACATCCGCTTTCAAAACAATAGCCGGGCACATGAGGTAAATTTTCAGAAAAGTTGCCGGTCAGCAATGTGTTAACGTGCAATATAAAATATAGACTGTCGGTTCTTCAGTTAGATCGAAAACGTTTTACAGTAAATGAATATTCCGTTCGGTCTCGAGGCACGGATTGTTCCGAGTAATTACACTAAACTGATTCGGGCGGACAAAGGGCTGACGCTGAGGTAGCTCGGTGTAAAATAAACGAAAGCCACGTTTAGCTCGGACGGAGTGACACGTCGCGTTTCGCGCGTTCGAGTTTAAAATTAACTTCCCCGAGGGCGAGTTGAGGTTGCGCACACAAAGGTCACGGAAGTCTTTTAAAAGTGATCCCCCTCCCCCTCTCCTTCCCTTTCTATCGAACAAAAATCGTGCCACAAAGGGGCACTTGCCGAGGGAAACTTGGGAAGAATGGGAACAAATTTGAGACGTCCCCCAAGGCGCGTCACCGGAAACGTTGCCGTAACGTCTCTTTATTACCTCGTTTTCGCGTACAGCGTACTAAGAATTATGCCCCGCTCTCATTAGTCGAGTTACTCGACTTCGGACCACTTCGTTCGGCTGACTCGAGATCGCTCGGCGAATTACCTTGGTTGAAATATCCTCCTGAGTTTCCAACCAAGTTTCAACTTGTCTGTCGACGACTTTTGCAAATGGTTTCTGTTCTTTTTCAAGATCAGACATCGGCCGAGCAAGTGTTTGTAAACTATGTAAATATGAACTTGAATTGTTTAAATTTTAAGAACGATGTTACAAAAATGACGTGGTTTCTAGTGACGAGCAGATGCATTCGGCTTTCACCATTTTCTGCCCCGTCCGGTTTAATTTGAATTTCAAAAGCACCGAGTAAAAATTCAAGAGCGCTCGGTTTCTGAAGTGAATCAAGAAGGGTTTGGGACAACGTCGCGGATAGTGGTTTCGGACCTCGAAGATAATGGATTTGCCAAATTGGGCAAATTGTGGCAAAGGGATTCGTTCGCGAAACGATAATAATCCTTCGAAACCCGAGGACTGTATTTTGAGTAACTGTACGGCGAGTCGTACAATCGCGTCTTGAATCGAAATCGTTAGTGGCAAAGTACTCGATCCCTCTGATTCCCTTTACAAGATGATTTCGTTATATCTCGGCGGTGGTTGCGATTAGTATTGAATAAAACATGAAGAAAGTTCCGGGAACGTTATAGCCTCGGGTCTCTGTCATGCATTATAAATTTTAGATATTAGTTCGAAATTTTTAAACCGAGCTAGAAGTATCGTCCGACAGCCGTGCCAGTTTCAAGGTTGGCATTAGGTTCGAGATCTCGTTATATCGAGTTTCCAAGTTAAATCCTTCGGAAGAGAGAAAGGCTCGACTGGGCTTGAGTCAACGTAAAGTCCGGTAAACACGGCGGCTAAAGTTCAGAGGAGCTTGGAGTTCTATCGCTCGGCAACGGCCTCCTTTTGTTCGTCAGCTCGTTTCGCATTTCGCGTTCTGTACTGCCTTTTATGAAGAATAAATCGCCGGGGACACGCCTTGCTCGCGCCTCGGCCGAGCTCCGTTTCGGAACAGAACTCCGTCGGGTGGAAAACACGAAAAAAGTGAAATGTGAAGCACGGGGAAATTAATGGAGCCCGGGTCGATGACGAGTCAGACTTCTTTGAAGGAATCGATGAAGAGAATCTCCCTTGCGTTCGGAAGGACGGTTTCCGATTGATTTATTGGAGAACAACGTGTCTGATCGGGGGACATGTTCATTAATTGAGCGATGCCTGTTCCAATTTCGTGAATAGGTTGTCGAGAACGTGACAGGGAGGTTCTTATCTTTTAATAATTATCGGTCACATTGAGTCTCCTCTGGATTTTCGTCAAAATCGTTTAAATAACGAAGAGCCGTAGCTTAAATATTTGAAAACAGGAGAGTCGATGGATTTCAGTGTTCTGGAAGCACGAGAGACCTTGTGCTCGGGCTTTCACAAGCGTCGTTCTTCAATTACGAACGCGTAATCGAATTTGCTACATATGTCGGGACCGTGGTGCTCGCGTAACGAGCTGATCGGGAAAGGATTCTTTTCTCGATGACCGTTCGATTCACCGTGCTAACTCGACTTAGAACGGTTCCTTTCCGGAATTTATACGACGACTATAAAACGAGAGATGAACGAAACTTTCTATCCGATATTTGCCGTTGACCAGAGTCCCAAGAGGAGGTCAGCGGTTTCTTAGCGTACTCACCGGCAAATTTACACTCGAACGACGTAATAAAGGGCACTTAGAGCCACGGTTGTAGACGACACGGGAGACGCGAAACAAATTGAAAGCATAAAACGATGGAGAAACCTCGTCGGTCTTTGACTCAAAACACCAATAGGGTGTTTTAACACTAGATCTACCAAGGGGTGTAAAAATGACTTGTTTAGCATTTCTTATAATCATTATTAATTTTCAGTACATTCTGTTTCCTAAAATAAATAATAATTTTGTGTAATTTTTTCTAAAATATGCAAATAATTAATTCTGTAAAATAGTTTTCTTCTTTTTTTCGTCTCTTTGATGTAAAATTTTATGCAGGGTATCTCCATATACCGAGATGAGTCATTTTAACTTCCACGGAACTTAAGTTAAAAAAGTAATTATTTTGAAAATTATTGCTACTAAGTTATTATTATTATCATTTTCAGTTTATTATTGAATTTTTATTCATAAAAACGTAAAAATTACTATGTCTATTTAAATGATTAATTTGAGAAACAAGTCATTTTTACCACTCCAGTAGAAGTGGCTGACTCTGACAATAAATTGAAGCAGTGACAAGTTTTCAAGATGATTCAGAATATCAAAAGCTGAATACATAATTCAATGTTTAAACGATCGAATAAACGTTTACCTGAAACACGTCTTCTAACAGCTTAATCGTGGAGGTAGTTTCCATCGAAAACTATTCCCACGGTCTCTAGACTTTGAAATTTAAATTGCGGAAAGCGCGTGAACGGAAGGGGAAAGGGGTACGTTTAAATTCATTTCCGTGGGGTGAGGTTTTTAAGCCGGTCGACTCACCGAGTAGAATGGAAGCGTTGGCCCTCTGCACCAGTTTGTCCACCGTATTCTTGAACTCCTTCGACTCTTTGATCCGTACTTGCGCCCTGAACACCTCGCCGAGTTTCGGTTTGCCCAGCAATGCCATTTTTTCCTCGTCCGTCCGTTCCTCTGGCTTTTTCATTTCCGCCGCTACTGCAATCCCTGCCTCAGCTGAAAATGCATCAAATCTCACTGATCAGGTAGCTCGTTTAACGTCCCGTGAGAAATTCTACGATTCCCGGTTAACGGACAGACGCGGTTCGTTCCAAATTTAATTATTCGTTTATCGACAAAATTTCTAATCACAAATCTTCTCTAGCTGTCGCGAACAGCTCCCGAAGGATCTGTTACACCGAAGAAACGACGATATAAAATCGCTTTTTATGAATCATTTCCGTGTAGCAATTTAGTAACGTCGAGTCTGACCATATACCGGCTATTACTACTTACGAGGTATACTACTAGCAGTATAGCGTGGCTACTGGCACAGGCACCAGGTCAGCTACATTATGTTATCAATTTTACGTGGTGTATTTTCTCACCCGTTCACCGAGTGCAAATATTAAACTCGATTAAACAATTCTGTAGTAACGAATCGAATATGTGAATTCGGCGAAGATCGACGAGAAACATTTTCAGTGATCAGTTTTCTGTGAACGCGATTAAGAGTCGGACTTGAACAGCGATAGTTTACAACTGTTGAATTGTCCGGAATTTAGCAGTCGGGAGGAATGTAGATCGATGTAAGTTATTCCTGTAGAGAGACTTTTTACGAGCGCCGTAAATATTGCAGCTCGTTCTTCTCGCGAGCTCTGCGTTCACCGTACAAAATCCGCGCTACTACCATTGAATCCCAATGCCCTGTGTCACAGTTTGTTTCTTTTTCCGTTGCAATCCCGTGGCCGACGGTTTCAGCTCTTGATTCCGCGTCCGAACTCATTTCGTACGCGACGTGATCTACGAGCGCGTGCTGCGTACGTCTATCCGTACCGCTTTATCATCCGTTAGGACGCACGGCCCGAAAGATCGTCGCATCGATCGCTGTGACATTATGCCGGAAATATTTTATAAAGCGTATACACATCCAATTTCGTCGCGCAGCAGGTGGATGCTCGTAAACCGGGTAATGAATAGCCTATGAGTGATTGCAGTGGTCTATGAAACATGGTCGCAAAATGGATTTACGATGGGAATAAATAGCACTGAAAATTGTTCAGTAATCGTTCTATTATAAAGAATTTTGTTCAAATACGAATATTCATTCGCACAGTAAATTTAAGAAGAATCAGACGATTAGTGAATACAAAGGAATCAATTGATCAGAACTGAACTTTCCTCTGATAGGATTTCCAAGGATTATTTCACACACACGTCCTCATGATCCTGCATTTCATTATCTGATAAGAACACCTTCAGATGGTGATAGCCAGATTGGAGAATTTATATAAAACATTTGTTATTTCAATTTAAGAAATGAAATTTAATATTTCGTATTTTTTATATGCTTTGTAAAGAAAGTTTCTATAAATTTTTGCTTCTCACTTGAGTATTTAACAAGTATCATTAATTTGCACTTTATTTATTTCGACAGAATCCGATTATTCCCACCGTCGAAACAGCAAACTTTTGGAAAAAAATTTCGTTTTTTCTAATATAATTTCCTATAAACTGTTTTATCGTTTTGTATGAAATACTCATAAACCATCGACGCTAGCGAAAAATATTTTGCACAAAAGTTGTAGTTCTATTGTGTCAGCTATAAATAAGGTTCTATGCATCCCGTAGATCCAACGGGTTAGGTGTAATTGAGGAAAAAGGAAATTTTCGCAAAATCGATAACCTTTGATAAAATTTCGAGAAAGTGAAAATTGTTTTTCTCGGAATTTCGGAAAATGCAAATAAAATTTGTGGCCTACAAATTTGTCGGTACTGCTGTTATCTATATTATCTTAGAAAAGGTCGTATACAATTTGTTTCTATCTTGAATATTCCGTATGGCTTTGCACATCTTCTGGATATTCAATTTTTATCCGTGCATAAAATCTGCAGCCTGGCGATATAGTTCGAGGATTGATAACGCTTTGCAAAGAAAGCACGGAGCGGCAAGAGTTAATCTCGGAGCATAACAGAGATCAGGAAAATGTTTAACATAGTAGATGCAAGTAACGGATGTAACAGCACGTTCTTCCCACGACGGGGTCTTACGATTCCCATCCGGGTTCACAGGATTCGAGTCCACGCAAATCCAGGATAATCGATGGAGCATTGTTTACTGGACAAACAGCCGGTAGGCGGAGAACACGCGAGCTACAACACCGATTATTCATTTCCTAACTCGCCCTTTCCCGGGGTGAAAGAAAAACGAATCACGGCCGCCCGGGAAATTGCGTTCTGACGAAGAATTCCATTCCCTCTTTTTCAAATCCAGTCTTCCCTTTCATCGAGTTACGTACAACGGAACTTTTTTAATATAATCAGCCTTTATGAAAACTTCTTTTAACCAGTGAGAACGTGTTGAGATACATTTATCGACTCGGTCCCTAGTTTCATTAAGAATTCTTTGATAAAAAATCAAGTTTCGCGAAAACGTATTACGTCGGTAGTGACAGTGCTCGTGATCTCTTGGGATTCTTCGCATGATTCCGCTAACCGTGACTCAGTGTTTCATCGCGAGCTGAACCCGGGTCACGAGCTACCAATTTCTCGCCGTTTTCATGCCTCAACCGGCGTGTATCCCCCGACGACAAAAATGACATTCTCTTTATTCCGCGCTGACGGTTATTCAATCCTTTGTTCGAGGGGGTAACATTTTTCTTGTTATCTTGTCACCGTGGTTAATGACACGAGTCACGTTGCGTCGACTTCTCAGCTGAGAAAATCGATTTTACGTCATGCCCAGCCGTCGACCGAGGGGCTATTCCCAAATCGACTGCATTTCATTATCTGATAAAAACATTTCAAAGAAATCAGCATAAAAATAGATCAAATGATATCAGATACGTTTTATTTCTATTCTGTATATTGTTGGCTTTCTTATTAACACGAATTCGGATTGAACACAGAAAAATTCCATTAAGAGATCGATGACCGAGGATGATAGGATGAAGGACGAACGATGTTATAGCTTTCTGACAGGAAAAATGTTACCACGCGATGACTTTTCTGATAAACACGTCTTTCTTTGCGACTACCGTGGATTTCACGGAATTCGTATACACACGTCTAGGGTTTATCCAAGACGCACTCGTCTCCGTGCGAAATATTATTCTGTTGGCGACGGCTTTTAGCACGCTCTCGCGTTACCCTCTCGAGCCTCAGGAGGAAGCTTCTCATCCTGTTGCTCGAAATCTCACCGTCAAATCCAATAGTGCCAATATTTTGTCCTTTCAATTCGACGTTTCTCCGTAGTGTTTCGTCGTTGTAATCAATATAATTTTTAATACTTAACACTAGAAAGACTGAAACTTAGTATATACCTATATTGCCCAAAAGCAGTAAAAATGACTGCATTGTAAAAGAATAATGTGTAAAGAGATTTGTCTAAAA